ATTGCCGGCATGGGTTCTGCACAAGTCTCAGGTGAGGAATGCTGTTGGTAAGTCTGTTCAGTACCAAAGGGCATTTGTGGATTTATTGACGTGCCCTCAGCTTTGTTGGACAACTGGGGAGGGATAAGCAAGTGTTTAGTTGCTGGCCTCGGTGTTTAGTTGTGTTACCATGGGCATCAGAGAAACCAACATGGGAAACACGAGATCACAGCTGCAACTTGGTCACGACATCAGATGTTGGCGCAGCTTCACGTAGACTAAATTACCCCGGTTATTTGGCTGCGAGGGGAGCGGAGGAGGATGGAGTGCGATCCCCTTTAATTCACGGCTGAGTGGTAGAGACTAAAGCTAACAGAACTAAACTAAGGCTCCGATATGGATTTGGTAAGGCTGGTACAATATGATACACAGCAACCAGGAATATATCACAAACAATAAACAAAATCGCCATAATAACACGCCCTTAATAGCGTATACAATAAAGCATAATTCATACATAAACTAATTATTAAGCCATGCATAATAAATACCACATTCATCTTTCATCCAAATTGTCTTTTTATATAAAATTATCACAGGACAAACACACTCCTTTGCCGAAAGTCATCGAGCGATAACATTATTATTTTGTTGCGATTATTTTCACTCGCTTTAGATTTAGCTCTAGCCCACTTTTATTTTATGGTGCAGGTGATTGGAGACCATCTAATGTTTTCTGGCAAACAGTTCTATGTGAGTGGGCTGCCTGTCCCCAATCCCCACTCAAGCCATCACTGCGTCTATTTAGCTTAGTGTCACCGTCAGGTCTCTTGCAAGCACAGTGAGTCACATTCAGGAGAGCCGTTCCTCTCGGCAGTACGCAGATTATTTTTTCACCAGACATTACCCACAATCTTCTTTGGTTATTTCGGTAAAGTCACGTAGAATGAGAATAAAATAATAAAATAAAACAATGAAATTCTCACGACGTTTCGGCCACAAAACAAGTAGCCGTCCTCAGGTGAAGAAACAGGACTGTCCAGAAGACAGCGCTTGAGTGAACCCTGTCAAGCTTGACAGCGTCTTTTAAGCTGTGTGGGAGGAACAGAGAGCCTTGACAAAGGAGCATGTAACTGGGAGATTAGCATTGCGGAGAGCGAACGAGCTGTTTCTTCACCTGTGAGGACGGCTACTTGTGTTGTGGCCGAAACGTCGTGAGAATTGCATTGTTTTATTTTATCATTTTTATTCTCATTCTACGTGACTTTACCGAAAGAACCAAAAAAGGTGAATCCTTGCAGTCACGAAAGCTTTAAATTGAAAATGACCCACAATGCCATCCAAGGACATGTTCGTCAGGACTGTCAGGATGAGCGGGTTCCAAAAAGCGAGTTTGTTGGCCCTGCAGTAATCACGTGAGTGGCACTCACTTGTGATTTAATATCCAACCCTCCCTGGCAGGTACACAATACAAACACGCACAAAGACAGAGCCCCCCGTATAGCCTTTTAACAGACCGTTGGAGCAAGTGCTGTTAGCGAACACCTATGAAGGCTGGCATGGCACACGAGAGTGGGTGGCCAAACACCAGGCCCAACTGCCTTAGGTTCCCGCAATGTTGATGTTTTATACACCACGCCAGGTAGTCATTTCAGGCTCAGTCGACCTAGGGGAGGCCCATGATCCGTTCAAATTGTAGTCACTATTAATGGTCGTGAGTGGGAAAACGAACTCGGATCACCGAGTTCGTAGTGCAGTGTGTTAACCACTACAATCCCGCTTCCCATAGCAACACCCACACACTCAAGCACGCAGACACACACGTGGCAGAATTAGAAAATTCTACAGCAGCAGGTGTTTTTAAATTAGGATGAAAAAAAGCACTGCAGCTGTTGAGGGAGGCCGTCATTTTGTACAAGCTGAGTCCGCATATATCTGGCCAGGTGCGGTAGGCAGAGCGAGCAGCTCGCAATCGGAAGGTTGTGAGTTTAAATGCAGGTTGGGGGTTGACTCAGCCCATCATCCCTCTGGCGTCAATATAATGAGTACCACTTTGTGGGGAATTTGAGAGTGGTTGTCTTCTGGATAGAATCGCCCCCATCATAGGAATGTGAAATTCCTACCACTAGCTCTGGGCTGCGCACAGAAAACGAGCAACCACCTCAACACTCATTGGATCACAAGATCACTTGGATTTTTTTTTCATACAACCAAACTCACATTTGCAAATGGTTTATGGAAAAAGCTTAAATGTTGGGTGTACCTCTTGCGCAGGGCCTAAGGCATGTTATTGCTGAGTTTAGAAACACGTGTTTAGAGTATTTGGCTGCTATAAATTTACAAACTTCGCTGAGCTATCATTTGTGGCCAGGTCGTTTCTGAAAAAGAGCTATATCGGTCAGTGGGCCTTACCTGGTAAAATAAAAACGTTTAGTTTTCGTTTTTAGTTTTATAGTTTAGTTTTAGTTCAGTTTGTAGCTTTAGTTTATAGTTTAATAATTTAGTTTAATTTGTTGTTTCTGATATACAGTCCTTCGTATTTACACAAACACGTGCAGAATTTACTGGACGTAATAGCCCATACTTAGAGCAATTTTAAAAAAAAATGTGCGCTCAACATCTGAATCTGCAATTTGAGAATTGCTAGTCCCTCTTGTAAACGTCCTATATATTTTTGCCGTGTTATTCATTGGTTGTCATTGAGTTAGGGGTAGAACGGGAACATTTTTGACCTGACCGTAAAGGCATGGAAAAAGGCAATTATACCCCGAGGGCATATGTATGCTCCTGCTTCTGAGTTAAAAATGCAGTTTGTAGGATCCCCACTTGCAATATCGGTATTGCTAAATTTCAATTGCTTTAACCACTTAATGGCGGTGGGGCCTTAACCAAGGTATGTTGTGATTGAACAAAAAGATAGTCTTCTTTGTAAGCAATCAAGACTAATTCAGAATTAGGAAGATAACGATTCCTGTTTCTGTTTTGGAACATCTTCCCAAAGGACGTGACTTGTGCATTTGGTGGGAATAATTGTTTTCAATACAACATTTTTTTTTAAACCTAATTATAAGTAACCAAACAATGGTCCTTTTTAATGTATCCTTTCAAATCATTATACGAGGACGTTTGTATGCTACATCTATGAGATAATGTTGCATATAAAATAGTTATGAGAATTATCCATTTAGACACACTCAATTTGCGTTTTTGATGTTGGTCAGAACATAATTATTTAAAGCAGTGTTGTCTTTGTATGCACTTGCCTGGAATGATGTCACTGAAAACTCAAGATTTATATTTGAGGTTTTACTTACATGGCAAGGAATGAATGTTTTAATGCTTTAATACTCCTTGCCACGAAGTCATAAATAATTCACACACATGTAATATATCGTGCAAGCCTCCAATACATGTGAATTTCCTAAATCCACTGCGGGAGAACTGCTATAAAATAGTCATACTGTATGAAAGGGATTTTATTTTATATTTCATGGAGTTAAATAACCTATCGTATCCATTAAAAAAAACAATTTTAGAAATCACCTGTCCTGCCTTACAAAAGCTTCAGAATAGGGCAATTGACAGCACACTCGATTGTTTGGCAGGGGATCATTCCATCGTCATCCGTTGCTCAAAACAATACTTGGACTGAATATGTCGCTGAAATATTCGCCTATCCATAATAAAAAAGCGGTGCAGCGTCTTGAAGAATATTTGAATAAATAACGACCACAGTACTCAATGAACTCACGTCGTAAAATTGTAAATTTAACTCAACCCAAAACATTTGGCACAAATCGCTACGCCTCTTGGAATATATAAAGTTCCCTTGAGGATTACGTTCCTGACTTTGAAGTGTCTTGCTGATGTTAGCCGGAGGAAATGCGATGAAAGAAACAATGTCTATGATTACCAGAAAGACGTTGCTCTGACTGCACGAGTGAGAGCAAGAAATTAACACGACGAACATTGTTAACAGTACTTATGGGCCAACGTCTCTACACACTGTGCCCCTGCTGTAACCCTTCCCAAGACTAATTTCGCCATTGTTTCCGAGCAGTCTGAAACCCACTCACCAGTCTGATGCAACACAATAATTGCATAGCGTGGAGTATATGACTGCCTGCAGAACAACAGAAATAGGTTACGGTGGTCAGCGGGAGAGGGCACAAAGGAAGACCTTGAACTTGCACAAGGGCAGGTTGGTTTGGGGAAGAGGTTTCCAGACAAGGCAATTATTTTTCGTTCATTTACTTGCTCTTTTCTGATTTCCCCAACCCCAGAGTTGCTTGATGGTAAAATCATAGGATGTGCATGTTCACAAAGCTGAATTGTAGATCCTGCGGTTTTATGTAAAGCGGGGTCAAACATCTGGTCCTTCAGCGGCCCCCCTCCCAGGTTAGGTTTGTGCAGCAGGTGCAACGTACGTCAAGGCGTCGATTGAATCGAGATTCTTAAGTGTACGATACACACATCCATCTGCACGTGTTGCAGTTTACGTGTGTTTTTTTCTTCACATGCGTCATTTCACAAGATATTTGCGGTGAAGAGAGACCGCTACATTTACCACAGCGTTAAAAAAAAAAAATATATATATAAAATTGAAACCTTGAATCGAATAACTGATGGCGGTGAATCTAATTATCGGCATATATTTCGGTACAGGAATATGTTGTTACGGAAAGGTAAAAATGTGAAAAGTCCAATGTATTTGACACGTGTGTGCTAAAACAACAAAGAGGTTATGTTGAAATCAATAAGTGTTTCATATCAGGCCACTGCTAGTAGGCTTGCGTGGCACCTTTATTACTATTTTCCATTACGTCCCAGATCCTTATTTAATGTTGTTCCATTGCCAACGGATTGATCACAAAACTGCTAAGCTTGGCACATGAGACAGGCTCTTCTATGGAGTTCAGATAGTCCTCAGGTTTTTTTTGTATTACCTCTGCGATTCCACAGTGCCTGTTGTGCTCTTATCGAGTTCGGTGGTGATGAGTTCTCAATGCTTGCCGTGGTAGGGGAGGGAGATGGGGAGAGCGAAGAGGAGTATGATGAAGATGACGATGCCAAGAAAGGCTCAACAGACGAGGTAATGCCCTACATGTGCGACACAGATATTACTGCAGGTTTTCTCTTTGATTTAAAGTGTGTATTTAAAGATGAAGCTTATCGTTGAGTATATAAGAGTTTGTTGAAATCAATACGAATAACAAAGTAGAGCAAAACTGTAGTATCTTAATTAGCAAAAAAAATGTGTGCTCGGGCTTGTATACACGGTATTGCATTGTACACGTTCGATACACAGTTTACTTGTGTGTCTGACGTCAAAACGTTAATCGAGCACCTGCGACTGGATATTGCATCTGACAGATTATCCACGCGGAAAACTTTGCGAACGCCGCTGCGGTTCACAGAAAATCGGCGTATAAATAAAGTACCTTCACAAAGACGTATGGAGAAAAAAAAAACCATCTCGCCAGCCGCGGTTACTTCTGAGGGTTCTTGCAACTCAGCGTGACGAATGCTTTCGGTCCATTTTTAAATTGCCCGACATAGTCAGCAGACCCCATGCAGCTACGTGCGCATTAGCACGGCCACTCCTGAGCGGCGTGTGTGGGTATTTGCAACGTTACGCTGGGGTGGTTCTGTGCTTGCAGAGCGAGGCCATCGCCACAGAGGAGATGTCCAACCTGGTGAACTACGTGCAGCCAGTCAAGTTCACCACCTTCGAGGCAGCCAGAAGTAAGCGAGACGGTGCTATGCAACAACCCTCTCTACTTTGATATTTTGGCTTGGCAGTACCGTACCGTATTACAGTCAACGCGTGCACTTCCATGCCACTCACCTGAATATTTATCGCGAGTGCCTGTGAACAGCTCAATCCACCGATGGTGATGTCTGCTTGCTGGCAGTCCCATTGCGGAAGCACACTCACATGCAAATTCATTAGAGGGTGGCCTGTACAAGAACTCATGCAGGGGCACGACACAGTCAATTGTAAATAAACACTGCACAAATGTGAAACGCCAAGCAGAATGAGTAACGATACGATCTGCCGTTTACCTATCAAGAGTTCCGCTCTGGCTTTGACCCCGCTTTTTATTTCAGGAAATGCTGGCCATCACTTAATTGGCACTGCTGTTAAATATTTTGAAATTAGAAGGGGGGGGGGCTGCACCTTCAGCAGCAGGGGGGCACTACCGGGTGACCATTGCATCCTCAATTGCAAAACATCAAAGCATTCACTCCCACTCACTCGCTTGGCCACAGTGGTTAAGATGCATTTTAAATCAAAGTTAATGTTTTTGTGGGAGGGTGTTTTTTTCCCGTACACATTTCTCCTTGCTTCAAAGCGGCACTAGAACATCTCTTTTCCAAGCCTCCCACTTCATTAACTTAATTAGAACCTCTAGTTGTGATCTTTATTTCCTGCCGGTTTACCACTCTTCATGCATCCTGCATAATCATGCACACCCTCTAAATATGCAGTCATGTTTGATGCTTATACGAGCGCTGAATGCAGATCCCGTGGCTCGCTACGATGTGTGTTGATTTTGTCAAGCCCTTAAAGTATGCTGCGTTAAGCACGTACACCCTCCCATACAGTGCTGAGAATTAGGCTATTACCATTATATTGGTATGTAATCAGCACCATGTAAACACTGCATTTATTCACCACAGTGAATGCAGATGTGATGCAGTGTAACGTAGCAAACATGGTGTGCCATCTAGTGTCCCAAAGAGTTGTTTACATACCCAAGCGCATGAGCGGACGTATTGTTGCGGCAGTGGTAATGTTTGCACAATACCTTCAGACAAAAGCTCCCATTGCCTGCGCTTACACATTATTTGAATCACCCCACAAGTAATATAAATAAACACTATTTTATATTCCTTAAGGGATTCGCATTACACGTGGAACATTCAAAATGTTGGACTGGTCTGTTCGCCAGTGGCCTGTACCCTTGTAATGGTTTATTTTGTTGTTGTATTCTGCAGAAAAAAATCGAAGCTACGAAATGTCCTCTTTTGTTGAGACGAAAGGCATGGAGCAGCTCACCAAGTGCCCCGTGGAATTCGTGGAGTATCCTTTACATTTGAACATTTGACCACCCCCACATTTAGAACATCCAACGGGCAGCTTGAATAGTCTTTGAGTCTATGACCTCGTTACATTTTTTCTTCTTCTTCCTCTTCTTCTTCTTGTGAACACAAACGAAATCACCGCGGTAATATTTGCGTGCAGCCCATGCACCGCCATTGCTGGCGTGTGAGGTACAGATGAAAACTCATTGCTAATTTACCATCAGTCGGCATGACATTTGAACATTCAGTCCCCGTTTCCGTCTTGAAGCAGCCCAGCTATTTTTGTCCCGTTGAAGCCGACGGCATCAACACTCTCTGCTGCCCACACATTTCTTCACTCGCACGGCGGTTCAGATACAACAAGTGTCAGCTGAGTCGCATCTACCCGAAGGGCACGCGTGTCGACTCCTCAAACTACATGCCGCAGGTGTTCTGGAATGCTGGCTGTCAGCTGGTTGCCCTCAACTACCAAACAATGGGTAACCCCTGCCTCTCACCTACATCTCATCAGCACACGATAGCATCCTACGGCATGGACAGCGGCAGGCCTTCAAAAGTGTGTTCAAGGCAAAAGTCTCCCCCCACGCTATGACATGAGCATAGGTGCCAGTGCTCACCTCAGTTTGGTAAGCGTGATAAAAGTGGCGGAAATTCCACATTGTTAAGACAGGACCTTGTCCGTTCACGACATAATCACTACTAGTGTGCATTATGTAATGTTTAATTTATGGGCATTATTAATTAATTCCTTCAGTACACAATTCATTTCCAGATGTTTAATCAGAGAGTCATTTGTCTTCAGAAACACGATGCTGCGGATAAATAATATCCTTTGTTTTGTTTCTGCGGCACAGACCTGGCCATGCAATTAAACATCGGCATGTTCGAGTACAACCGCAGGAGCGGCTACATCCTCAAGCCAGAGTTCATGCGGCGTTCAGATAAGCACTTCGACCCATTCTCTGATAACACGGTGGATGGGATCATTGCTAACACCGTCTCTGTGAAGGTGAGGCCAGAAGGGGGCATCTACCGCTTAGCACGGATACAGCACTTACGATTCTCTTACCCAACACAGCGAGCACACACCTTTGGCCCGGCTTGGCGCAGCGCTGTCCTGATATGTCACTTTGTTGCGACTAAATGCCACATTTGGCAGACGAGCTCCCTCGTTGGTACGTGGATATAAAAATCTGTGTCTAAACATTTAAATTTGGGAACAGTGTTTCCACAGACTTCCTATCAGTGTATGAATCAAGCCCGTCGAGAGAAATGCTGGGCCCTTATTATTGGCTACCCCCTACTCCCCCCTTATTCATTCCCATTCCCCATCACCATTCTCGAATGGCGCAACTTTGCCCAGGCTGTGATTGTACGTTTTGGGGGCACGGCGGTGCCGAGATGAATCAGAATCAGAAAGGATTTTATTCGCCATGAAAGTTCACACCAACACGGAATTTACTTTGGCAGGATGGTGCATACAATCAACATATATATGTTAACTACCTCTGGTATAGAGGAGAGCGTGGGTTCGATCCCGACTCTGACGCCTGTATATTTGGAGTTTGCATGTTCTCCCTGTGGTCTTGTGGATATTTCTTCTGGTGCTCCGGTTTTCCCCTCCACATTTAGAAACACGCTTTTAGAGTATTTTCCGCATGGTAAGCCACTCCGTTGAGCTATCATTTGTGGCCAGGTCGCTTTTGACAAAAATAGTTACGTAGCTCAGTGGGCCTTACCTGATAAAATAGAAAAAATAATTTAGTTTAACTCAGCACACAACTTTGCTCAATTTTACTTGGGACAAATATCGCCATGAAACAGGTGGCTGAAATATTAAATGACAAAATTAAATCGCTGTGTACCATACATTTTGGTATTCATCATAGCAATCGGTTCAATTTCCATGATATTCATTGCTTGACTCCATTATCCCAATTGTATCCTACGGACTGCATTACATGTACATAGTATGACACATTGGCAAATTAGGAAATTACTATATGTTTGTAATTAATTTACAAGCCTTCCCCGAGCTTGGAATGCCAGTAGAGTTGTACCTTCCTTCCTCCCAACACTCAAGTCCGGCCTGTGTATCACAATCAGAATGATAAACTTTACTTAGACTTCAAGAACATCCGATGAGCTATGAAGTTCTTTTTCACAGATGTCCAGTGGGGGCGGGTCATGAAGTTCGTTGTTGCCGATTAAATAAATATGTTTAATGGTGAAACTTACCTGTGACGTGGCCGTGTGCAGGTGATTTCAGGACAGTTCCTCTCTGACAAGAAGGTCGGCTGCTTCGTGGAAGTGGACATGTTTGGGCTGCCTGTCGATACGAAGAGGAAAATTTACAAGACCAAGACGGCACCTGGAAACTCCATCAACCCCGTTTGGGACGAGGAGCCGTTTGTATTTAAGAAGGTACCATCACACACGCGTTATGAAATGTGCATTCAATCCACGCAGAATGCAAATCACGCCTGTGATATACATTGGGTGTTGGAAAACTATACGGGTGATTTTAACGTGTTTTGCAACTGATAAGTAAAATAATAAAACTTTTTCTAGAATGTCTTTAATGGCCTCATGGTGTAATAGAATCCTCTGAGGCAACAAATGTGTCATTTATTCCTAAAACATCCAAGCGTAAACATTTGTGTACATTTTTAAAACCTAAACCGTCATGCACAATGCATGTTTGTTATTGGTTTATTACGTAATCTTCAGTGTTTTTTTTTTTTATACGATTCGCATTCAAGTTGAAAGAACTGTTGCTCAACGTGTTCACCCCCCCCCCCAATACTCGGCACCGTCACGCTACGTTCCTCTGCCGCATTAACCTCTGCCCCCCCCGCACCCCTCACCCCTCTCCACAGGTGGTGCTGCCCACGCTCGCCTGCCTCCGAGTCGCCGCGTTTGAGGACGGCGGCAAGTTCTTGGGCCACCGCATCATGCCCGTGTCGGCCATCCGCCCGGGTGCGCTTGTGTTCAGAACGGAATTATTTTGGTGGTACTGCATTTGTTTGCAGTGGCTCAGATTAAAAACAAACAAAAAAATTAACACATTCGTCGGTAACACTTCCCTAAAAGGAAAAAAATATATAAATATGCAATAGATACAATGGGTTGTTGCAGGCATTGTCCCTATTAATATAACTTATGAAGAATATTACCCAAAACATTGCCGATAGTATGTGTTGTTTTCAATTTTAGGGCAGGTTACTGATGCATCTGTTGAGCTTGTGTGTAAATTTGAAGAATAGAAATGTATGTTTTAATGCCTAGGATTAATTACAATATTTGGGAATGCATCCTGGCTCATCATATTAAGCAGAAGGGACGCAGGGTTTAACCTGGACATTGCTTTGATGGGTGACCACAATGCACAACATGTGTCATGGGCTGTGGGGCTAAGTTATGGGCAGCAGAGAGAAAATTTAAAACCGTTGATGCACTATGTTCCCTCGTCTCTGCTCTTTGCCTTAACGCACCCGCAATGAACCAGTATTGTGAAGCGTGGTTAAATAACCTCCATGACGTATACAGGGAGAGCCCTCATTCAGCAGCGGATCAATAAATGGCTGTACATGTGCATGTTTAAGGCTCAGATTGATTCGATACGTAACATTCAATCTTCTCTGTGGAACAACATGTTAATTTTAAGTGGTGGGGAAGCTATAATTGGGCCTAAGTGGCCTGACTGCTATAAATATCCTATTTTATATAACCCGAATACAGCATAAGGTTAAAACTCTTTTGTAATTATGCGAGGTATTGAAATTGTGCAAAAATTACATCTGCAAGAGAGGCTTGTGGTAATCATTAATATTATGCAATCGGTTATCAAATAAGAACATTACGCAATCCTAAATGTGTGCGAGAGAAGGATGAATTTAATTCACATTTTACTTGGGGGGGGGGGGGGTCCTTCATCCAGCAGAGGCTGGAGAATGACTGTGGATTGGAAATGAAAATGAGATGTATGGTTTTGTGTTTAGGTTACCGGCACATCTGTTTGCGTAATGAAAGCAACCAGGCCCTGGCCTTACCAGCCATCTTGGTCTACATACAAGTCAAGGACTATGTCCCCGATGCATTTGCAGGTTTGTGTCCTTTACTTCAAACATATGAGCGTTCATAACACGCAGGACTTAATTTCGGTCGGGGTCAGCGACCAGGAAGACATTTCCATGCCCGGCACATCACATCCAGCATACATCTCACTATCGCTGTGGCAGCGAACCATGTGCCAGCCCCTTCTGGTATACCAAACGATGAGGAAAATATTGGGTCGTAAATGAAGCCCCTGATTACATGGGTACTACACCCAGCTCTCCTTTGCATTGAAGAGTTATTGTTGAGAGTGTGCTGTCACCTGGTAGCAATGAACACTGTTGGATAATAACGGTGGGGCCGTGGCCTGGTGTTTACCACATTGCACTATGAACCTGAATGGCCCCAGTTTGACTCTTGGCCACAGCCAATGAGCTAACATTAGTAGCGAGTGATATCTAAACCAGTCCTGGGCCCCGGCCCTCACCACCCCTTCTCCAACCTGCACTGACCAGCGTGGTGAAGTATGATCAAACAACCCTCTTAGACTGAAATACCATGGGGAGGCCTTCCTCAAGCAGTGATGATGATCTTTGGATGAAAAACTAAATGTTGGAAAATAAACGTCATTTATTTCAACACGTGCTATGCAAGTTCAAACAAACCAAAAAAATGTGTTAAAAGGACACTCTTCCAAGAAGTGCCGATTGTATGTTGCACATGGACTACGGCTGTGTGTTGTTTGACACGTATGGGTTTTCCGGCCTGCATTATTATCCCGACACATCAGGGTTTTTCCCCTCATTTCCAGATTTGATCGAAGAGGTGCCGCTTCAGTGTAAAAACCGCTGAGACACATTTGCGTGCCGCCGTTCCCTCCCCAGATTTGACGGAGGCGCTCGCCAATCCCATTCGCTATGTGAGCCTCATGGAGCAGAGGGCCCAGCAGCTGGCAGCTCTCATCGGCGAATTCGACGAAGGGACTGCGGAAGTGCGTATGGCTCATGTGCATTGCTGCCCCGTTGGAGATGTGGCGTATTGCTGCGAATGTATACAATCTCGCTCAGCCATACAGTGCGAAATATTTACATGCAGTTTCTCCCCACCCACCCCGCTCACACAATGTTTTGCAGGTTGCTCATTTTTTTTGCCCACTTACAATATTGAAGATGTGCATGAATGTGATGTGCCTGACAACTCTGAGTAAATGAAAGTGCACGTTTGGCAGTACAATCCCGTCACCTGTGTATGGTTCTGGTCAAGTGCAATTTCTTTTAAAGCATTGTTTTGTTTTCAGCTTGCACTCCCCGCTTCGTGCGTACAGTGTTGCGCGCATTCAACCCAAGTTGATTAGCAGATTGGCGAAGGTGGCCCATTGCCAAGGATGCCTCCGGAATGATTCGCACGCTGCTTGCTTGTTGACAGGAAGTCGTTCCCAAGATCATTAAGAAGGAGGAGAACGGCGTGAGTGCTTTGGTGCTGAGGCAGATTTCCGAGGATGGGCCGATATCCATGCCCCCTGCACCGCACAAAGTGGCCGCGCCACCCGGAGCTCCACAGGGATCCGGCCCAACCGACACGGTCAAGTCACCAGGTACAGCGCCGCACCGCATGCGTTCCATGCAGACCATCAACAATTCACCACACCTCCCCAGCAATTAATTGAACTTTCAAGATTCAAGGTCAGCATTTGGCGAACGAAGCGATACCTTGTCTGATCTATAGAGTCTCGTTTGTACTGTTTCTCATTTTACAACTTTGTTCTCTCCATTGGTGTAAATTATCATTTCACCACTGATTTGCATAATAAGCATGGCCAAAAACCTACAGGAGGGGCTCTACAGCTTTCTCTAGAGTCAGCCCTTCCACCAGCAGTGGCGTGAAACAAGTAATTGCAGAGCTGCCCCTTTGCCCACGATACATACGCATTCCAATCAATTAATGCATTGTAAGTGCAATACATGTTATACTCTAAATCGATGACATTGTTGCATGGCTAGTTTCATATTTGTATTTTAACAACTATTAATATTTCAGCAAGGATAACCCCATCGATGTTTGCCCCTATTTAACCTTCATAACCAGAGTGTATTTTAATCTTATCAAAACTGGTAACAGTATAACTCACAATTTTATATATTAACTATTGAAATGAGGGCACCTTCGTAGCAAGATGTAAACTACCTCACCTGATATACAGGAGGTCGTGGGTTCAATCCTGACCTTGACGCCTGTTATATATTTAGAGTGTGCATGTCTCTCTCCCCATGGTCACGTGGATTTTTCTCCAGGCCTTCTGGTTTTCCCTCCACATTTAGACACATACGTTTAGAGTATTTGGTTGCTATAAATTTGCACATGATAAGCCACTTTGTCGAGCTATCATTTGTAACCAAATCACTTCTGAAAAAGAGCTGTATAACTGTGGGCCTTATCTGGTAAAATAAAACGTTTAGTTTAGAAATATGTAATCATTTCAGCATGTGAGGGATAGTTCTTATGCAGCTCCAAGTCATGTGCGCTGTTCCAGTGCATCGCTCGCACTATTATTATCGTTCCTATGCCACTTTCGACATTTTTTTTCATTTTTGCCAAAGCAAAATTTATTAAGAGACTTCACGAAGATGAAATTGTCCATGTCGCAGGCTAGGCTTAAGTAACAGTTCTATGTGTACTTTAACACGTAACTTTCCCCACATTTGTATTGCAGCAAAACCACCACCACAGAAAGATGACGTCTTGGCCAGCATCTTGAGAGGTAACCTCTTACCAACTCAGCTTTTTGTTTTGACATTTGCCTAAAAAAACGCCCCTGCAGCAATATTTAACTATATATCCCTACGTTTGTTTAATTCAAACGTGGAGCTTTAACATTTAAGCAACTGAAGAGTGTTTTAATTTACATCCCATGAGAACTGCTGGCATCATCATCTTTGATGGAAACTCAGTCCGCAAATTTCCGTGGTACATATTGTACACATGAGAGGCACGCGCCGAAATTACACTGAAAGACGCATGAATTGGAGAGCATATGCGGGTGAATAACATCAGTCAAACTGTGAAGAAAAGTGAGTGGGCTTTGGTAGGAAATCTCGCTGTAGAAGGGGTGATGGCCAATGGTCAAAAATACTAACAAAAGTGGCAGCCAAGGAATGCATCTGAAATAATGTCCACCAAGGAGATGGAGTTATTAAATCAGCTCGTGTGGAAGATGCTAGGTGGATTATTACATCCCAGGATCATGAGAAGTGGCGGCAGCTTGAGGAGGCCTTCATCCAGCAGTGGATTGACGATGGCTGATGAAGACGAGATGCTAAATTCACACCTAAGATATTACATATATTTCTTGCCAACTTCACTCGACGAGTGTTATTCCATTAATGGCAACAACCTGGGCATTATGGTGATGAAATGAATAATTCTACCAGCTATGTTACCTCTGATCCGTGTCCATGTGAAATATCAACTTGTCCTCAAATAATTGTGTTAACTTATAACCAATTTCGTGACCTCGGTCACAACCAGCTTCTCAACATCAAGCCTCCAATTCGGGACGTTTACGGTCACATCACGTGGTCAAGCCGCGCAAGCGGCAATATACTGAGGTTCATTCCGTGACGACATACGTTTCTAAGATCTGTCCCCCTAATTTGCCCTCCCACGATTAAGGCACGCTACCTCGCAGTTCGTGTGTGGCCGCCGTCGTGTGGAAACGGGTTGATCTCCAGCAGCGTCTCTCTGCAGGCGTGGAGGCTCTCACGGTGGAGCAGATAAAGCAGCACAAGGCCGTTCTGAAGCTGCAGTTCAAGCAGCACAAGGAGGCCAAAGACCTGAGCAAACGGCACCAGAAGCGCATCGCCGAGCTGGCCAAGGAGCAGATGGCGAGGCTGTCCGACCTTCAGGCAGAGCTCATTAAGCAGAGGGTCAGCTTGGAGAAGGCCCTCAAGAAGTCAATTAAGAAGAAGTGAGTTTCAACCTGCAGGCGGCCAACTCGGTTTGCGAGGCAGGACACCGGGTGCAGTCCACAATTTCCATCGATTGGATTTTCGGAAAAGAGTCACCGGACATTAACTTTTGTTTTTGTCCCTCTGTCAATTTTTCGTCGTCGGCGGCTGCAGGAGCAGGTCACTGAGCACGTCTCCAAGCATGAGCCCGTCGGCCAGCCTGGAGGGCGAGTTGTCGGCGCTGGAGGGGCAGGGCGGCCGCCAGATCACGGAGATGAAGCAGCAACAGCAGGAGGAGATGCTGCACATGCGGCAGGAGCACTGTGAGCTGGAGAAGGCGCGCAGGCAGCAGCACATCAAGCAGGTGCGCGTCCGACGTCCGATATTTCGCGGAGAAAAGTTCAGAGCGGCCACCAGGCTCCAAGGCAAGAGGTCGGAGGAATACCTCGGCTTATTCGAATCAAAATGTGCCCCTCTGAAAGTCGAGAAGGACAGCACTGCCAAGGCCTCGGTCATTTCAAACGTTCACCAGGCTACTCCGAGTCGTCCGCTGGCTCACCCAACTAATCTCAACACGAACGCACAGATGTTTCCGACAGACTCCCTGCCCCTGAGAGAGAAAATAAGTATATTCTTGTTTTCCAGGAGGAAGTCGTGTCTGTGTAATGGCCAATACTGGCGTTGTATGATGTGATTCACGGTGTTTTTACAGTAGCGTCCTGATAGTAGCTGTCTGTAATTGGATGGAATCCATCGCATGGAGCTTGTTTCCAGCTAATACTCATTAATTGTCTACTAATTACAAAATATTTTACATCCACATTAACTTTCATTCAAATAAATGTCACTTACTGGGATAAAAAAGTTAATTGGAAATATGGTCATTAAAACTCCTCTTATCACTATTCCTATTATCCGCTCTTCCTATTGGTCATTCCCCTGAATCTATCCACGTAAATTCATGTTCTGGTCAATAGTTATTTCTGTTATTCGAGTCTTTGCACAGATAAGAGGAACGACCTGGAAGTTGTTGATAATTAACACAATTATCCAAGCTATTTGCACAAATGAGTCACTGGCGTTTTGCCCCCCCCCCTCCCTGAAACGTTGAATTCCATCATATGAGCCTTTGCTGGAATTAAAGAAGTGACCAGAAAGTGGCGGAAAATTAATCTTATTATTCAGCATGCGCATAGATAAGTCACAAGGAAGTGGTTTCCCTTGGATAAATTATTTGCAGAGACGAACATAGATATAATCTTCATCTTCTGCATTTACATGGCAGCGCCTCTCATCACCTCTCATCCCAAACATCTTAAGGGCATCCTCAGTGTGGTAGTAGTCCGTGTGCGACACAGGGTCACTCAGCACCCAGCCTGCCAGTGGGGACTGATGATCGTAATCCCAATTGAGTAATTTACGGGTAATACTTTGGAATTTGGCAATGTTTGACGTAAAACAAATACTCTTTGTTTTTTTCGGTAAATTCACGTAGATAAAACAAAATCAAAATAAAAGAAAACAACTAAATCAAATCACGACGTTTCGGAGGCAACGCAAGCTTCCGTCTTCAGGTGGAACAGTCACAGCAAGATAGCTGCATCAAGTGGTGAGCTCTGAGACCCTCGAGCTTATATACAGGTTAAGGTGGGGGGGAGGAGCCAAGCAAGGAGCGACGACGGCGTGCGGGGCTAAGGTTAAGGTGGGGGGGAGGAGCCAAGCAGGTGGGGGGGAGGAGCCAAGCAAGGAGCCACGACGGTGTGCGGGGCTAAGGTTAAGGTGGGGGGGAGGAGCCAAGCAAGGAGCCACGATGGTGTGCGGGGCTAAGGTTAAGGTGAGGGGGAGGAGCCAAGCAGGGAGCCACGACGGTGTGCGGGGCTAAGGCTAAGGTGAGGGGGAGGAGCCAAGCAAGGAGCCACGACAGTGTGCGGGGCTCAGGTTAACGTGGGGGGGAGGAGCCAAGCAGGGAGCCACGACGGTGTGCGGGGCTAAGGTTAAGGTGAGGGGGAGGAGCCAAGCAGGGAGCCACGACGGTGTGCGGGGCTAAGGTTAAGGTGGGGGGGAGGAGCCAAGCAGGGAGCCACAACGGCGTGCGGGGCTAAGGTTAAGGTGGGGGGGGAGGAGCCATTCCGGGGTACTGTAAGTCAGGAAGACATTCCTGACTTACAGTACCCCGGAAGACATTCCTGACTTACAGTACCCCGGTGTTTACAAATTTAGTTGTATCTGCGGTAACTGCTATATCGGGGAGACAAAACGACATATTTCTGACCGAATTCGCGAGCACATTTAGTTGTTTTCTTTTATTTGATTTTGTTTTATCTATGTGACTTTAACGAAAAAACCAAAGAGTATGAATCCTTGCAGTCACGAAAGCTTCAAATCTAGAAGTAAAACAAATGCTTCAGGGGATATTTACCATCCACATTGACGCATATATATGGTGAATACAACTGCAGTAATAACCAGGGCACCCTTGCAAGAATTGAACCGCGAACCTCTGCAACATGGCAGATGTCAGTACTCACATAAAAGTCTCTGCCCCAGCAACTACTCCACACAAATAGTTTAATGATAATTTGGCATTGGTGCACAAGCACAATTTACAAACAAAACTCAGCACACTGTCAACAACACTGCCTTAAAAATATATATACATTATAACGAGAAACGTTTTAGGCAATTGCCCTTCATCATTGCACATGCGCTATGAGGAAGGGCCACTCCCCACATATCAATCAGATATGTATGTAGAACTTATTTCGCACCATACGTCGCCAACCGTGATAATAGGTGCGGAGGTATGAACATTTCCCCTGTCATTGTAACTACTACATTTGCCAACAGGCCTATGGGAGTCAAAAAAATAATCCACTCACATACAGCATGCACAACCATTTCCTCACATCCCTCAGTGTGCTGTGAATGTTTTCGGAATTCTCTGGACCTCGCTGATGGTTACAGTATTTGTTCGCCCTCTTCTGGTGAAAAGGAAGCTATGCAAGTAAAATAGCATTAGCACTGTGTTACATTAACACACTGGTACAGGTGTAATGATCAAAATCTAATGAAAACGTACAGCACATTTTAGTTGCACAATTAGGATAAATGTAGAAAATGTCCTGGGTTAGATTACCGTTAAAATTAAAATTTTCCTGTATGACTCTGGTCAATCCAATGTGACACCCAAATTTACTAAGCCAGACATCAGAATCTGTTGTGCAGGTCTTTAAATATCACTAGTCATTACACTATAAGTGTGATGCATTGAGCGCCTACAACCAAATCAACCTAGAATGTACCCAATCTTGTCAGATCTCACAAACAAATCAGACTGCAGCTTGGTTAATGCTGCCGAAGAATACCAGATGTTGTTGGCTTGGGCTGCACGGTGGCCAGTTGATAGCATTACAGCAATTGATTTGCGAGTCTGTTCGGAGCTTTGAATGTTATCCCTTCGAACAGAAGGTGTGCGCTTTCTCTGGGTACGCCAGCTTCCTCCAACGTGCCAAATTCCCAATGCAGGAACCCTCCTGGTAAACTATCTTAAAACTCAAGTATTCCTGCGTGATAAAAAATATTTATGAATATACAACTGCGACGACAAACTAAAATTATGCTTCATTTGCAATGGAACAGGACCGACCAGTGTTTGGTTGCTTGTGTTGCATTGCTCGCATTACCCATCACGGACTGCTGCACCGGCTTCCAGTCTGGTGTTGCAGGGGATGGAATACAAGCTGTGCATGCTTATCTACGCAAGTGTTTACACCGAGCCCTGCGCTGTCCTATCTCGCTGATTTGTGTGCGGTGCCAGTCGTCTGCCTGAGACAGTGTCGTTAACTCCGGTCAGCAGCAGCAGCACACGATGACCTGATTGTTCGCACACAGACGTCGAGATAACGGGCCCCAGTAGTTTTGCAGTGTCCAGCCCGTACACTCACGCACCCACCGATTCAATCACTCACCCACTCACCCACGCACTCACCCACTCACCCACTCCCCCACCTACTTACCTCACCAATTCACCCGCTTGTTCACTCAACCGGATCACACTCAACCACACTCATCGATTCACCCACCTACGCACCCGCTTACTCACTGATAATTATGATTATTATAATGATCAGGGGTTTTACACCGCATCATTCGTGCAAATTGTATCTCAAAATGCTGCACAATCTACGACACCGAGGTACATATATATTATGAAACCCGTCTAGACGATGGTAATTCGTTCCACGAAACCGGTCGTTAAGTAATTTGGTCGCTAAGCGAGTATAAGAAATACATCTTAAAGGCTTAATTCGTTCAGATATCATCGAAAGTTACCCTTTTTCGCCCCAAAAACGTACTTTGTAACATTTAAACTATTTATATTAATACATAAAGATGCTAGCAACATTATAAATACATAATATTAAAAGAAGCATGGTTAATCAATGCATTCATTAATATTTACTGTACCTATACCAGCCTGTCATTAACATGGGAATGGTCGGTAAGCGAACACATTTTTGCTCTACGGAGGCACTCCACCACTATGCCCTACACTATACACTACACTGTACTCTATACTATACACTACACACTACACTATACACTACACTATACTCTATACTATACACTACACACTACACTATACAGTACACTCTACACTATATACTACACTATCCTCTATACTATACACTACACACTACACTATACACTACACATTGAGCTCTGTGGAGGCACTCCACCACTATGCCCTACACTATACACTACACTATACACTATACACTACACACTACACTATATACTACACTATACACTACACATTGGGCTCTATAGAGGCCCGTCGTTAAGCGATTAGTCGTTAACAGGGGTTCTACTGTATAAAGGTGTTTTCAGCCACAATTAATGTTTATAGGTGTGGGAGGAAACTGGATCACCCGGAAAAACCCACGCATGGCAGCGGCCAACACTTGCATGATGGTGACAAGCAAAATCGAGATTAGTCCACACCTGCTGCAGCGCATTCTGCTGGCAAGCCAGGATATGGCATCTCGACACCCACGGGAAGGGAGTTTCACAACATTTCTGTGATCCCGCACCCCTTGCCTTCTATAGCGCTGGATTACAGCTGTGCGCTGCCGCCCCACGGATTCACCGACACATCCACTCACCTGCTCACCCACCCACTGACATACCAACTCACCCCACTCACACTCACCACACTCACCACACTCACCCCACTCACACTCACACTCACCACACTCACCCCACTCACACTCACCCCACTCACACTCACCACACTCACCCCACTCACACTGACCACACTCACCCCACTCACACTCACCACACTCACCCCACTCGCACTCACCACACTCACACTCACCAACTCACCCCACTCACACTCACCCCACTCACACTGACCACACTCACCACACTCGCACTCACCACACTCACCCCACTCACACTCACCCCACTCGCACTCACCACACTCACACTCACCCCACTCACACTCACCCCACTCACACTCACCCCACTCACCCCACTCACACTCACCCCACTCACCTCACTCACACTCACCGCACTCACACTCACCCCACTCACACTCACCCCACTCACCCCACTCACACTCACCCCACTCACCTCACTCACACTCACCCCACTCACACTCACCCCACTCACACTCACCCCACTCACCCCACTCACACTCACCCCACTCACCTCACTCACACTCACCGCACTCACACTCACCACACTCACCCCACTCACACTCACCCCACTCACACTCACCCCACTCACACTCACCCCACTCACACTCACCCCACTCACACTCACCCCACTCACCCCACTCACACTCACCGCACTCACACTCACCCCACTCACACTCACCACACTCACCCCACTCACACTCACCACACTCACCCCACTCACACTCACCCCAAACTTTTGCAGTGTCCGGCCCATTTAAGTGGAACTTATTTCCGATCACTGTCTGAGATTTGTCGTAGTCAGCCAGTTCTGCAGTAGAGTCAAGACGGGAATTATTTGTAAATCGCTTAAAACATAGCCAGTGTTGTGGTAGACTTTGTGTACTAGGAATGGTGTTCATGGGAATTGCACTCCGTGTGTGCTGTGTGGTGCAAGTGCCCCCATATGGTTCAGGCAATGCATTAAGTTGTCAGCGGTAGTGTCGTGGTTAGCGCGTTGCGTTACCAACCCAGCGGCCCGGGTTCGATTCCCGCTCATGGCCAATATCAGTGACGATTATCTGAACTGGTCCTGGGCCTCCCCCTAGGTCGACTCAGCCTCAATTGAGTATCTGGTGCGGTGTGTAAACCTTCATAGGTGCTCGCTAACGGCACTTGCCCCAAAAGTCTGTTATGGCTACACCGGGGGATCTTTGTCTTTGGTGCCTTTGTTCCTAGATGGTGCAGAAAATGCACGAAGTTGCCGTGGAGTGCCAGGCTACTCAGCTCAAGAAGCTGAGAGACATCTGTGAGAGGTGAGGCTGCACCTCCTTATTCATCACAAACGATGAATGTGAACTAAATGTGGTATGGGTACGTGTTTTAGAAAAAAAGCATTCTTGTTCAAGTTGGTTAAATTACAAAATACAGCCAACACAGAATGAGATAATCATTCTCTTTCTGCCTTTGTTATTAGCAACTGATACCAGACTACACCTGCCTTGTCAAGAATGGTGTAGCTTTTTTTTAAGTGCCCAAAACTATTTATTGAGAAGATTACATAACAGTATTTGAACAAATTTTGATTTAAGGAATTAAAAAATATGTCGTATTTGGTTGCAGGATCCTTGAAAACCTCTGAATGCAAATGTTGTAGGCCTAGACTCGAATGCAAAACAAAAATATCCACCTAGGGGCGTGCCGCAGATTGTAAACTTTTCACTTTCAGATCTTTCCTGATATAAGAACAGACTCAATCACGTTCGTACCAAATGTCAGATCTCTACCCTGTCTAGAACATCATTGGAATGTACACCATGACCAGCTTAATACGAAAAAACTCAACTTCATCAGTAACACCACTGCCTTAAGAGGAAACGTATAATAGGCGACATTTTGGGCAGTGAGCCTTCTTCATAGCACGTAAATATGAGGCTGATAAGGAGATGGCCTCATCGCGTGGTCAAGATTGCCCTCTATTGAAATCGTCTGGTATCTTTGCCACTGCTGTTAAGAATGCACTGGGGAAAAAAATCAAGTACAGAATTGCAGTATTATCAGAGAGGCTTTTTAACTTATTTCAACTTGAGCACTTACAATTTTTAAACATTGAAAGTAAATAAAATAAATACAACAATTCCCATTCTTCGGGGTGAGCAGCGACAAAATGGGATCTTTTTTGCCAGCATAAAAGTATGAAAACATGAGAATAGGTTTTACCCTTTCTGGCAAGAAAACAAGAGGCGTTAAGACGTTCAGACACCATTCCTTGCAAAAGGTTTATATTTGGTGTTCTAACATCTTAACACCTGTTTTATTGCCAGAAAGGGTAAAACCTAATCTTATTTTTTCATATTCCCATTCTTGTTCTTACTTCCTTGAAACTCGGGGCAATGAAGGTACCAGAAAAGGTGGCAATGTGCAATCAAAAGAAGTAGCCTCCGCTTCACCGTTCGTTGTGTGCGAGCGTCAGTCCACGTGTGACAGCAGCGATGTGCCACGCTTCAGGAAATGACGCGAGACCGCTCGACAAATTCATCTTTGGCTTTCCAATGCGACGAGACGGCGCCATGGGCAAGCAACAGCTGCTCTGGGTTTTTCTTTTCAGAGAAACTAAAGAGCTGAAGAAGAAAATGGACGGCAGGCGGCAGGAGAAGATCACAGAGGTGATGTCCAAAGACACGAAGGACAAGCAAGAGGTGGAAGGGTACGAGTCGGACCTGAGGGATTGCTGCAGATTTAAAATAATTCCACTCGTGTGTATTTTCTGTTTCTCAAACGTTAATTTATTAAGAGATTGGTGATTCCACGGTAACTGAATTGTACAAGCTATGCAGGTGTATTGGACACGGTGATTAAACAGCATCTCTAATGCTTCACATCGACCTGCCATGTAAGGACATTCAGACTTGAAAACAGCCCAAATTATATTTCAAATAAATATTGCGATTATCAGGTTCTGTGTGGTGTTGTGTCATTCCGTTACCGTTGGCCACAGACAGCATCAGATTCAAATACGTAAGCGTTTGCAAAGCAACGCAGTGGCATCTGCTTGTAGTAATAATTATTCTCAATTATTTCCTTTGATAGGCTCAAGACTGAAATCAACAGGACCCATATTCAAGAAGTGGTGCAGACAATAAAAATGGTATGTACATACACACACACACGATGAGCAACAGCTGATGTTTGTTTTTCCTCAAATACTGGTCTCGTGAATTCCCCGTGCTTGTACTGCTTTTGTTATATTTTGCCAAGGCTTTGTTTGATTTGCATGATGCATGGGAGTAGAATGACAATAAAGGAGCTACTTTATCTTAGATCACCACAATGAGACAAATACCATCATGGGACCTCCTTTGCCAGTACCAAAATATGATAATAGGTTTTTCCCCTTTTTTCTGGCAACAAAACAGGTGTTAAGATGTTAAAACACCAAACTGAAACCTTTTTACAAGGAATCATGTCTGCATTAACCACAATCCTTGTGGTCAGAATGCAAACAAAAAACACTCTGATAATATATGCATTGTCCTTGAAACTGATTGGTCCACACCAGAGACAGCTTTCTTTTGAGCCTCGTCTCAAACGGTGCTAGACCAGAGGACGCCAAAAGGCGCATTATCAGAGTATGTTTTTTGTTTGCATTCTGACCACAAGTATTGTGGTGTAGATGCTCACCCCGAGCTCTCATTACTCTGATAGTGGCATTGTCTTTGGGCTGTACGCCTTTTGGCGTCCTCTGGTCTAACATCGTTTGAGACGAGGCTCTAAAGAAAGCTGTCTCTGGTGTGGACCAATCAGTTTCAAAGACAATGGATATATTATCAGAGTATGTGTTTTTTGTTTGCATTTTGACCACAAGTATTGTGGTTAATGCAGACATGATTCCTTGTAAAAGGTTTCAGTTTGGTGTTTTAACAACTTAACACAACTGTTTTGTTGCCAGGAAAAGGGGAAAACCCTATTATCATGAGACAAATCAATTATATCAAGTTACTTTCTAAAGTCAGTAGAGATTGCATCACGTATAGCAATTCGGAGGAGGTGGATGTGTAAAAAGGTCAGATATGTTAACATCTATCGAAAAATCACAGCTACATCATGCACAAATAGGTTAACGGACAAAATTAAGTGGAACAATGGCAATACTTGCGTGTGCCGTACTTTAGAAGTAAGTGATTGTATGTGAGATTAAGAACGCATTGCCGTGTGTGGAAAGGTGTGGATTTGTGAACATCAATACAAAATTTACAGTTGCGCCATGCACAAATACTGCACTGGTTGATGGCAGATTAATTCATCAAGGCATGTATGCGACGGTCTGATATGCGACATTGTATTATAAATGCCAGTCCATCACATCTCTTAAGCAATGGCCGTCATCACGATCAGTGTGGCCATCTCTCTGTACTCGTGTTGCCCAGCTGACGGAATCTCAAACCAAACGCCAAGAGAAGCTGGAAGACTCCCACAAGGAAGTTTTACAGCAGATCCTCGAAGAGGAAGCCCAGGTAAGATCAAGGACTTCCAAAATGTCTTTAGCTCTGAAGCCCATAAGCATTCCATTTCTGTTTTATTTTCAAATTCATGTACACACCGATTTTAGAATTTGTTGTATTTCTGTTTTTTTATAGTTACATTAACTTTCTGGATGTAGAATTTGTGGACGATTGCATCAGCATTTCAATGTCATCATCATCAATCAGACAAGGGCAATCCACTGCTGGATGAAGGCCTTTTCAAGCCGCCACCACCTCTCGCAATCATGCGATGTCAATGCATTTCATTTCCATAAAAAAAAAACATCTACGTCTCCTGCACACAATTTAATTCCACGTCACATCAGGGGCACTGTTGATGTGCAATGTAAACTCAAAAGACATTATTGCATTCAAATGCATTCAAGGTCAATATTAATGCATTCATGCAAATGTATAAGCGTGTACAGCTAACAACAGGATCTTGACAAATATAACTTCATCCCACCACGTCGATGGGTGGGGGGGGGGGGGTTTGCTAGGGTGAAATAGCTTCTCTTCAAAGCACATTCTCTTGGGAGCCTTGCCTCAACACCTTCTCTCCCCCACTCTCCCCGGCACAGTACTTGCAGGCTGTAGCGAACGAGTTTTCTGAGAAGGTTTCCCAGCTCACTGAGCAGCCGTCTCTGCGGCCCAACTAAGGGCTGCCGAGCTGTAGTAAGTACAACGTGGCTTGTCATGACACGGCATGGGTATGCCGTGGCATAAACAATCACCACCACCGTGCAACGTCGTGGCTTCACAAACATTCCACCGTGATGAACCCATGCGGCCAACTTGATGACCGCGAGCTGATTTGTGTGCCTGACTTCTTTGCCTGCCCAATCTTTTGAATTGTTGTGGCTCTTATTGTTTAAAAAATGGCATGAGTGAATCGGGGGCAGAGATGTTAATGAAAGCCAATTTCACCTCCGAGTGGAAATGCTTGTGCATCACTGCTGTGAATTCAAAAGCATGTTCACACATTGCACCCTACTTCAAATCAAAACTTATCTGACAGACGCGTGATATTAATATATTGTTTCTCCATAGTCTGTGTCATGAACGCATTGGTATTCACAACAGGTCTGTGCAAGAGCTGAGCTTCAAGAATGTAAAAAAAACGATCATTTTGGGTGTCCATGCATTATTTACATTATAGCCCAATGCTCATAATTATGAAATCAACCTGAAGTGCATTTACGTAACATTAACGCTTCCACAGCTTTTGATTTAAAACCAATCCTAATCACTGATCACACAAACAAATTTCTGTTGTGTTTTCACCAAATCAAATAAATTGTGATTATTTATGATCATAGCTACCGGAGAGAGAAGATCGATTTTAAAATGTGATTCATCTCAAATACATTTGTTTCACGATTTGAGATGTTCTTTTCGTATGAAGCAGTGGTTCTTAACCTTGCACCCTTTTGTATAATGTTAATAAATACATACGTTTGATGAAACAAAGTAGTTGTACTTCGATGCCCGTGCCTAATTTGTGTTTCGATTATTTAACTTCTAAAAAAATCTGGCCATGTCTCGCACTCTCAGGGGGTGCGTGCACCCCAGGTTAAGAACCACTTGGCTAAAGCATAGCAGAGAGAACCAATATGATAAAGTACCATGTGGGTCAAGGTGACATCACTCTGCTGGGTTTTAAATTGTGCTGCTACAGTTGTTTAGGAAGAATATGGCAAGTGTGTTCATAGGGACTACTTCCTGCACTCGGCCAGGCTTGAAAAATAACTACAGCTTTAGAACATTGCGTGAAATTTAAAATCGAGGTCACGTCCAATTCGAGTGCCTTTGATTCATCTCATGGTATATAACGTTCAGTTGAACAAGGTTCGTTTAATTTTGTTGTACGATTAAGAACCACTCGAAGAACACGTCGCTTATTATATGGCTTCGAAGAGCAAGTCAAAGATGGTTATCACACAGACTAAGCTGTCAATTTGAAAACCCTAGATTTAAAAAAATCTTTCCACTGCTGGATTTACCACCGATCCAGTGTCACGGGTGTTTGTCGCGAATGTCTCGAAGAACGTTCACTTTTATCGCCGCAGTACTCGCAGCAGCTGGAGGTGGATCACTCGCGCAAGCTCCAAGCACTGCCCGAGGAGGTGGAGCAGGACATGAGAACGATGATTCTGGATCGTTTCACGGTGGATCCCCCGGAGCTGTCCCCCTCTCCCGGCTCGACGGACGAGAAGGTGGTGCTGCCGCTGGGGGACGGCGGTGGCGGCGTCGAGAGGGAGGCGTTGACGATGGTCACGGACACGGACGACGTCACGAGGCTATAGAGAAGTCCCTCCCTCGCAACGAACAAGAACGCTGGGCGTTTGCGATCCTCTGTGTGGTAATTGGCAGCGTGTGAGATGGGACCTCTTGGTGGAGTGGACTTCTTCACGGGCAAATCCGTATTCCATAAACGATGCTCGGAACTTTCAACATTAATTGCAAATTGCTAATTCTCCTTTATTCGTGAATAAGAAGGCTGAAGAGGGAATCGAGAAAGTGGGATTCATCCAAGACATGCGAACCGAAACCTTTGGCACTAGCGCGGAAAAAAGACCTGAAGATGCTGCAGGTTTTCTCCGAGCAACTGGCAGTCCAAACTTCACCGTCATCTCCGGTAACAGCCTTCGCGTTTCAGTAAGCACCTCCATAACGCAAAATATGTTTTGTTGCTCCGTGCCACCGCAAGCAATGAGCACCTTCAAGTTTTAGCGGGAGCTGGTGAATTTGTGGTATAGTTTTTGTTAAATGAGAGCAACGATTAGCACAGTTTGCTACGTACGGTGCAAAAGAAGTTCAACATACATAAAAAGGCACATTCATGTTTTTGAAGTCATGCGTCGTCATTTTAATACGAACATTTCAAGTACAATACATGATATGAAATAATCGTTTTAAAGATGTCACTGCAGTTTTTAGTTTTATTGGGAAATTGGCAAAACGTATTTTGACACGGGCTAAATTGCATACGGAATTGTTCTTTGAAGAGCGCCACAATGAGAGTCGTTTAATGCTGTAGACGTGAAAGTGACACGAAAAATTAATCACCAGCGGAAGCATTGGCATCAATGTGATTATGATGCAGAATTGAGCAGCAGTCACAAAACACACGAGGCCATGTGAAAACCTGTACATGTCACAAGGCAAAAGAAAAAAATTCAGCATCATGTTGTACAAGATTATTCACACAAATGGGTGTTTTGCAATTCACACTCCAGCCAACGCTACCACTCAGACTTTTACATCTCACAGATTGGTCATTCACACACAACCGAGTACAACAAAAATAATATATGCCATTGGGAAAATAATCAATGCAATAATATTGTTTGCATAACACCATTATTACACCTGAAACTACAGTAATAACAGACCAAATACGAATAATACGCCACGCTGGACACAGAAGCATCTCTGTAAAAAACTGTTTGAACCTCAACAACTCTGTTACATCACTGTACACATGCATGGCACATTGAGTAAAGCAGTACAAGAGTAACTTGCTAGAACTCATAGGCACTTTCCTTTGAAAATACCGGGGCCAATTGTCTACGCGGAAACTTAAAGTTTGCTCACGACATGGAAGAGTGGTTAAGCAGTTAAAATGTTCTCACACGAATGCTTATTTTAGCTGTATCGGTTGATGATTGTGGGTGGGAGGGGCGAGGATTTGTGTCACATTTCTTAAGCCACGAGGCAGCTTCTGAAATTACCTTGCACATTTCTCATTATAATTGCCCCGCTGAGACTTGTCTTGGTGTTGCAATCACTTATCTGGCTCGAGCGCCACAATGATGGACAAAGTGAAACGGGCCTCTGTGATAACTGTGGCAACAGAATAGTATGGTCATATATTAATGGTGTATATATTTTTTAAAATATTATCCACCAACAACTTTAACAGTTCTTGTTGATTAAATACAGCCTCTAATTCACATTCAGGAGAGAAAGCAGTGCTTTACTTTCTTACTTGAGGAATGTTGTTTTTCTCACTCAACATGATATTAAAGAGCACTTAATTCGCGATAGTAATGGGTTGAATAGCTGGCATTTTGTGACAAACCCACAAAACGTAAGTTCCAACACCAAAAGCGTTCGCACGCTCACCACGATGTTGCAAAGTGCATGTTACGGTCAGGTTCATGAAAACTGGTATTCTTTAGTCCTATGCAGTAGTCTATATTTTTTGCATTCTTAAATTATGCAGAAGATGTGTAAATGTATACATGTTCAAAAAGATGCAGTGAGGGAAAAAAGTATTTGATCCCCTGCTGATTTTGTACGTTTGCCCACTGACAAAGAAATGATCAGTCTATAATTTTAATGGTAGGTTTATTTGAACAGTGAGAGACAGAATAACAACAACAAAATCCAGAAAAACGCATGTCAAAAATGTTATAAATTGATTTGCATTTTAATGAGGGAAATAAGTATTTGACCCCCTCTCAATCAGAAATATTTCTGGCTCCCAGGTGTCTTTTATACAGGTAACGAGCTGAGATTAGGAGCACTCCCTTTAAGAGTGTGCTCCTAATCTCAGCTTGTTACCTGTATAAAAGGCATCTGTCCACAGAAGCAATCAATCAATCAGATTCCAAACTCTCCACCATGGCCAAGACCAAAGAGCTCTCCAAGGATGTCAGGGACAAGATTGTAGACCTACAAAAGGCTGGAATGGGCTACAAGACCATTGCCAAGCAGCTTGGTGAGAAGGTGACAACAGTTGGTGCGATTATTCGCAAATGGAAGAAACACAAAAGAACTGTCAATCTTCCTCGGCCTGGGGCTCCATGCAAGATCTCACCTCGTGGAGTTGCAGTGATCATGAGAACGGTGAGGAATCAGCCCAGAACTACACGGGAGGATCTTGTCAATGATCTCAAGGCAGTTGGGACCATAGTCACCAAGAAAACAATTGGTAACACACTACGCCGTGAAGGACTGAAATCCTGCAGCGCCCACATAGTCCCCCTGCTCAAGAAAGCACATATACATGCCTGTCTGAAGTTTGCCAATGAACATCTGAATGATTCAGAGGACAACTGGGTGAAAGTGTTGTGGTCAGATGAGACCAAAATGGAGCTCTTTGGCATCAACTCAACTCGCCGTGTTTGGAGGAGGAGGAATGCTGCCTAGGACCCCAAGAACACCATCCCCACCGTCAAACATGGAGGTGGAAACATTATGCTTTGGGGGTGTTTTTCTGCTAAGGGGACAGGACAACTTCACCGCATCAAAGGGACGATGGTCGGGGCCATGTACCGTCAAATCTTTGGTGAGAACCTCCTTCCCTTAGCCAGGGCATTGAAAATGGGTCGTGGATGGGTATTCCAGCATGACAATGACCCAAAACACAGCCAAGGCAATAAAGGAGTGGCTCAAGAAGAAGCACATTAAGGTCCTGGAGTGGCCTGCCAGTCTCCAGACCTTAATCCCATAGAAAATCTGTGGAGGGAGCTGAAGGTTCGAGTTGCCAAACGTTAGCCTCGAAACCTTAATGACTTGGAGAAGATCTGCAAAGAGGAGTGGGACAAAATCCCTCCTGAAATGTGTGTAAACCTGGTGGCCAACTACAAGAAACGTCTGACCTCTGTGATTGCCAACAAGAGTTTTGCCCCCAAGTACTAAGTCATGTTTTGCAGAGGGGTCAAATACTTATTTCCCTCATTAAAATGCAAATCAATTCATAACATTTTTGACATGCGTTTTTCTGGAATTTGTTGTTATTCTGTCTCTCACTGTTCAAATAAACCTTCCATTAAAATTATAGACTGATCATTTCTTTGTCAGTGGGCAAACGTACAAAATCAGCAGGGGATCAAATACTTTTTTCCCTCACTGTATATACCTGTGTGTGCTATACACAATGTTCTCATGTTCTTTCTCAAGAAACTGCGTTCCAATGTTATGCTGAAACGTGTACCGGGGGCAGAGCGATACATAGACTCGCCCAGCCCAAAGTGGTACACAGAGCGGCACGTAGACAGGTCCAGTCCTATCATCACTCTACCACCGAGTGAGGGCCACCTCACTCCGTTGTGGGTCACGGGACCCTCACCATGCTTCACCACGCTTCACCACGCCGGTCAGTGCAGCGTGAAGGTGGGGCACCATAGATGTGAGAGCATAGTACAACACAACAATGGATTTTGCTGCACTGCCCACAAAATAGCATCCGCCAAGCACTCTATGGCAGCCTGTTTTATGCACGGCGGTTGCCCGTCCAAGCACTATCCAGGATCGACTCTCCGACAATCACCCGGCACATGCCGGGTGATTGTCGGATATATTCACAGAAATTGTTTGTACTTGAGGACGTTTAACACATTGAGCACTGCTCAATATATATGTCAATTTTTTTCCCCCAGAAAAATCTTACGAAGCTGCAATAGTGCGAAATCTCATTTAGTTTTTTTTACTGTGGTCTTAAAAGTGTGATTAAAAACCTGCATGCCTGGAGAAATGCTGTTGTACTCTCCCCCACCCCACCCCCCTTGAGAGGCACGTCATGTCACCTCGTGTGGGTGTCTCACACAGCCAAGTGCTGCAGCCAGATCCTATACCTGCGACGTGTTTTGTTAAGTGACATTTAAAATCCGATTTGCATGGCATGAACAGATTCGAATACGTCATGCCTGTTTTGGTAGTGTACATTATCCGTTTGAATATTTTATACTTTACTATTGCATTGAGAGTTTGTAGTTTACAATCGGGGTGACCTTTTTGGAATGTCTTGTACGAAGCACCGTTGCATGACACAGCTTGTGAATTTTGGAAATGTCGGTAATTATTTGCATAGATAATTTTCCATACTTGTCATGTTAATTGCAAGGCAGAACAGGTATTATTGGTGGTGGTATGTTGAAAGTCTCCAGTATTGTATTGTCCAGCATTGGGCCTTTCATGTTAACTGGTGGCTAAACTCTTGATATTGTAGCTCCAGAGAAGGTTGAAATATTCGACGCTAACTACAAGCATATTTGAGTTTTTAGGTCAGTGAAGATGACAAATTAAAGTGCAGCCTGACATTGCACAACATTCCATATCTGGACATACATTAGTCCACATTCACTAAGTCTGATGAAAATCTCGAATTTCTTGCTTAAAACTCGCCACCTATGTATACGAGGTCTTTGTACATATACCACAAATGGTGAGGTGCCATGCAATCACACAAAATTCATTAACGAGTATTGAACATTAAGAGGTTTGTTATTTCCTTGTGTATTTTTACTTGCAAATGTTGACTAAAATATTCAGAAGCCCCTTTTTCCATTGACACAGCCAAACCATGCCGGGGCCATGCCGAACAAACTCGGCTTAGCTCAGGAGGCGCTATCGGTTATGTTCCACGACAGAAAGCCCCGAGCTGTGCCTAGTGACGTCTGCATCACACGTGCGTATGCTGTCTGAAATAACGTAATGACTACAATTATAACCCCCCCCCCTCTTCCCACCCCTGGCCCTGCTTGGCTGCGAGCCAGACTCAGAAGTCTTATAAGGTCAGAGTTTCATAGTTTGGTTCTGGCTAAACTCGGCAAATAGACAGTGGAAAAACCACCCGTACTGCGAGGCTCCTCACTGCTGGCTCGGCTCAGATGTACCAGTGGGAGAGCAAGTCAGAGATTGTTATGCAGTGCCGGCTCAGTTCATCTATACCCTGGACGCTGCAGTTGTTGGTCACAGGTGGTTACGGTTAGTGAGGTGGATAATGATTTCAATAACTTTCTATTTTGAAAAGACCTAGCTTCCCCAATCTACTAAGCACCCCAACCAGGTTTTACAATTATGCACACATCATGGCTGCGGAGTATCGCAACTTCTTTTTCTGCAGGATAGAACTACTGCTAGCTCCATCGTCTTCGTTACATGTCATTAAATAAGCAGAACGGGCTATTAGGAGTCACCGATGTAATTCAAGCCTGTAAGCAGAGATGTGTTTCAATAGACCAACACGTTATTTATCTCAATCAATCTTTATTTTACGTGTCAATATCGCCCTCCATAAAGTAGACATCAGTGCACATTACAGCAGAACGGGGAAGGTACAGGGGCATATGAAATTATACAATTGCAAGATACAATAATCACTGGGCCTACAACGAGGCCCCACCAAATCAATATATGCTGAGATAAAATATGATTATTTGGTCTGCCATTGCTAGAACTAAGGGAATATTGGATCATTATCACCAAGCGTCATACATTCTTACAACGCTATATGTCATAGGGAATAGAACACTTTTGGTAGGAATCATTAAAGAAACAATTACTTGTTCGATATCTGGACGTGGCTGACGGTTAGTACTGCTACATGAAGTATACACACTGATCACATGGTGACGGCATAGCAGAGGTGGGCAAAATACATTAAAATTACAAATTACTTGGGTATCGTTGCATAAGTACAATTACCAATTACCTTGCGTTGTGTATTTTACATACCCATTACGTATGTAATGAAATTACATCTTTAAAGTACGTGTACTTTATAAAACTGTACCACCCATCTCTGCA